TTTTTTTTTAATAAATAAAAATGTGCTGCTCGTTTTTGCAGTGAGGCAATGTGATTACTTGTCGTGAAAACAAGATTAGTGTCATCTGTCACCAGTAATTGCTTTATAATTTGCTGGTATCTCTAATTTGGAGCCAGCATGCATTGGTTGTTGCCTTGTTTTTGTATTACTTGTAACCCAACACCCCATATTCACTGTCTTTTTCCCAATAGCATATCTTTACAGGAGTTTGCTTGACTTAAATGTGAAGCTTCATGTTGAAACTTGATCAGGAGATTGTTTCAATGTGATATCAACTTCCCTTCACAAACACTTGATGGTTCCCTATGGATGGCCACTTCTTCCTCATTGCCTTCTGTGTGCAAAGGTGTAGATAAAGGAACTGTGTGAGCCATAATATGCTTAAAAGGCTTTCTTTACTGTCATGCAGCCTGGACTGCCAGATGCCAGATTGAACCTTAAGACATACATAGCTGGAAATACAGAGGTTCAATCTGGCACAACGAGTCCAGGCTGCATGACAGTAAAGAAAGCCGTTCTTTCTGCTTTTTTGCTCTTCCATCTCTTACTAAACTCCCAACAGCTGGAAGGGCTTTGCATTTGCATATTTCTCACTCAACCCTTTTACGTTTGAACCTGAAGGCAGCTCTGGTATGATAAAGCAGGAACCGCAGTGCCACGTCACTTTTGGCATCTGGCCTGTTTTGTCATTTTACATCAAAGAAACATGACTAGTGTGATTAATATTATGGCTTTCTAATATGGTAAAAAAAACTGCTTTTTTTGGTAAAGAACTGCTTTTAAATACAAATCAGAACTCTTAAAGGGATAGTTTACCCCAAAATAAAACTTATCATCAGGTACTCACCATCATGTTGTTCAAAACCAATAAGATGTTGTTCAAAACGCATATGAAGATATTGCTCTCTCTCCACTGAAAGTCCATTCCACCAAAACTTTGATGTTTCAAAAAGTTCAGAAAGTGATTGTAAAACAAATTCAAATGAATCCAGATGTTTAATCCAAATCCAATATAAAATGTAGACTTGGATTAAACTGCTTGATTCATAGTAGGGGTTACTCGCGGTTCGGTTTGTGTCACGGTTTCAGAGTCACGGTTTCGGTACGGTTCGGTATATGCTATGTTTAGAGAGAAAAAGGACTATATTGTCAAATAAAAATAAAGAAAATAAGAGCAAATAATCGAATTACATGCAACAGAACAAATAAATACAACCGATGCAAACAAAATAAACAGTGCTTTTCAGGTTTTTTAGGTAGGTCTAACAGTT